CCATGCTAGTCTTTATTCTTTTCTGTAGTGACTCAATCCTACTTATGGTCTTGACAAATATAAGCTAGCTGTGCAGGCTGAGATTCCTGTGGGTATCCTGACTAGAACTTAACATTCAGCTCCTTTAAGAAGACACCATTCTAGACAAATGGAATTCACTTTCCTATCCCCATTTTTTTCACATACACACACTCACGTAGATATGGACACACACAGATATATCTGATCACACACATATACACTCACACATACAAGCACACACAGACCTCCTCACACACACACAATGAACAGTAAATCCTTTGCAGTTAATATCACAGCTGTATGGACCTATGAAGGGCATGAAGGGCATGCCCTTCATAGGGCATGAACATGAAGGGCAGTTAGCCAGAGGACATCACCCTGAGATATAGACAGCCATGTGCATCAAGTTGAGAGTGAGACTTTTGGGCCACAGCACCTGGACTGTATTAAAAGGCCTCATAGGATATTTTGTGCTTTCACCAACCAGTTCTCCTCACAGTGCATCTGAGCCTGTTTCTCCCAGCTGGTGGGATCTGGACACAACCCCCAGAATTGGATTCACTGCATCTCTGCTCATAAGTAACAGCAGAGGGGTGGTGGGAAGGGAGGGATGGTATCCAGGAGCCTGAGAGCATAAGCTGTCAGGAGAGGCTATGAGGAGAATTCAGAGTCCTAGGTTTTTATATAAGTGGATTCTTTCTGTTATGCTCCAGGTAGTAACTACAGTGGTAGAGTGAAAGGTAAAAGGAACCTCTTCTGTTGTATTTGTTTCTTTTAGTAGGATCAGTTTGTTTCCATGCCCAAATGAAGATTTCAGTTCTTTGAATACTTTATGTAAAGGTTATCTTTGTGGCTCCTTGATTTTTATTTATAAATAGTTATTTCACCCAAAATAGCAGTTATGCCTTGCCTAGAAGCCCACAAGGATAGAATTTACTTGTGGTATTTGAAAAATGGACAGAGGCTGAGAAGAGTGCGGGAACATCATAGTAGCTTTGGGAATGATTGACTAGGGTGGCAGAGGAAATGTTAGGAAGGTATTAGGATATAAAATGGGGACTCTGTAGTCAGTCTGACCAAATTTGAATCCCAGCTTACCCCTTATCCTTTGGGAAATTATTTAACCTCTGTGCCTCAGTTTTCCTGTGAATGAAGAGGACAAACCAGGTGCCCCCCCCCATGGTTTTATCAAGGCAATTACATGAGATGAGAGATAAGCATCTCTCAGTAATGCCAAAGAGGGGGCCATGCTGCAACAACTATTGTTAGTGTTTTCTTACCTGGGCCCTTAACTGAGGCTAGACCCTGAGGAATGGGCTTGTAGAGGGGATGAGGCAATCCTGAGAAGCTAGAAGGCCAGGTTCCAGGTGGGCAAAGAGAAAGGGTTACAGATGCCAAGTCATCAAGCCCTGCCTAGAATTCCATAGGCTTGGACCATCTGAGTGGGGGCAAAGCCAATGAGGAAGCAAGTACTACAGGATCTGGCCTAGACCAACCTTTCTGAGCTCAGCAGAGAGGGCTGAGCCTTCACAGTGAGGCACCATAGGGTCACTGCCCTGGACTTCTTTGTGGGCCTGACTGGTGGCAGGTGGGGTTTGGCTATGGAGGACTTGTGCCACGGGAGGGCAGGTGGAACTATTAATGGGACCAAGGTCATAAAACTCACCAAAAATAAGTTGTCAATAAGCCAAATGTGCTTCATTCACAGGCCTTATTCATTTGGTGCTTAAGGCACCAGTCAATTAGCTAAACTAATGTGAGGTTAGTTATAATCAGTTATGTGAATTCTTTAAACATACAAATGGTGACAAATGGAATAGTAAATAAAGCTAAGGAAGCCCTTTGAGATTCAAGATCTGTACAAGCTGGGAGTATACCATTTGCAAATAGCCTGAGAGAGCAGAATACTCACGAAGTCTCTTTAAAACAAATCACATCAGATCAATGTAAACCCACTACTGACCCATTGATATATTAGCAGGTGCTGCATACTAAAGGAGGTAAGTCTAAGTGTTATCACCTGGTTATTATCATCAGCTGATTCTGATATGAGGGGGGTGCTTTTGTCATCTTTCTGTAGTAGACCCGGAAAAAGTCCATCAAAGATTCCTGAAACCTGGGGTGAAAACACATGTGGGGATACATCTCAGGAATGCTTTACAGTTGGGAAACAAACATTAATGTTTACATTAATCAGATGTTAAATTAGGAAACCTAATTATAATGTTGGCAAATGACATCAATTTGACAGCCATTTGGAGTATTTGAAAGAAAAAAGAGTGTGTTATGACTGAAGACAGGTCAATTCATTAAACTCACTGTGTTACAAGCCATTAAACACCTACTATGTGCCTGTACTTTCTAAAAAGGTAATAAAATAGAATATATCATACCTTTCAGTAAACTGATAGTTTTCTTTGATTCATGTACATTTTGGAAACAAAAAGAAAAATGTAAAAAAAAATTAAGAAATGCTGATGACAGGTGAAAGAAATAAAATTAGTGCTAAAATGTACTATCCTGTGAACATGGTATGAGATACTGTTAACTGCTGTTTAACAGACAGAGATTGCCTGACAGGAAACAGGGGACCCAGGTGGGATCTGGCCCAGCTCTGTCTGACTAGAGAGTTATGCTGGTGACCACTGTGCTTTTTTGCCTGCTGTTCCTGCCCCTCTGGAGGTGCTCACCCCTTCTTCTAGTTCCTCTTAGGCATTACAGTTTTCTGTCCCTGTAGGCAGTGGGACTTTGCCAATATGGAACAGAGGAAGCAACTCCACAGCTCAGTCTTGAATGAGAGTCAAAGACTGGTGTTCACTAGGACAAGAGAGAGCTGGGCATCAGAGGGTAGGGCAGGGGAGGGAGGGATAGTGCATGTACAACATGTCTCTGTTGTCTTGTCTAAGATTTGCTGCTAGCCACCACAGGGCACATGTATTCCCATCCTGGCTTGGTAGACTGGTAAACCTCCAACTTCCAAAGAAGAAGCAAACAATAAAACATAAGTCACCCCCTTAAAGGATAAAGGACAAGAATGTCTTCTGTTTTATGCAGAGAATGGGTTGAATCAGGTTTTACAAAATTCTCTACTCCACTGAGTTGGAGACAGTGTAAAAACAAATTAAAAGCCAGGGCTCCTGCCAGCAAAAGCGAGATTAACACTTGTAACTAAACCAGTTAATAGCAAGCCTAAGCCAGTGACCACACGACCTAGTGTGCCTGTCATCTGAGTAACTCTGACCAGTGTCTGTTTTCATGCCTAGAAATGTCTAGTCTAGATGATAAACCATAAACATGCTACATTCAACCAAATACTTTGGGTATGAAGTAAGTGTAAGTGAAACAGGCATCTATAAAATTGTGTGCTGGAGACTTCCAGAAAGTCTTAGTATTTTCATCCTTCCAACAATGAAGCCTTTTATGTATTATGTTTTCTTCTGGGTTTGTAGGATACAGGAGCAATGGGTCAGACAAGTACTTAGTTGTCAAAGAATGTTCATTCCCTCAGATCATGTATAGAAACAGTTTTTGATTGTGGTAAATGCAGTGAATAAAATAGGTTTATGTAACAGGTTCACTGGGGGGAAATTAAAGCAATATAAATGATAGCCAGGCACAGCATCTTAAAGAAAATTATATTAGAGCTAAGATCCTGAAGACAAGAAGACTCCAACCTTGCCAAGATGTGTACAAAGAGTTCAGTCATAAATACAAAGGCCTCAGAACGGGATCCAAGCAGAAATCAAGCTGCTGTTTAAGGAGCAAGTAGAGTGAAGGAAGGATATTGGAGTCATCCCATTTGTGAAGATCTGAAAAAGGAGAATCATAATTGGCCCAGGAAACTGGGAGTAAAGAGTAGCAGACAGTGAGAACTCCATTCGTTTGAGATCCCTGGCTGTTAGAAGCTTGGCTAGGGTATCTCAGCCATCCTCTCTGTTCACTAAACTGTGCAGCTGTAGAGGAGGTTGGCTGGGTTTAAAAACAGCAGAGCTTCAGCAAACATGTACACAGGCAAGAAGGGGGCAAGGGAATCATGTGTATGTGTGCATGTAGGATTATAACGATGGATCAGAGAGTAAGTTGGGAGAAACAGAAAGGAAGAGTCTGTAGGATTAGGGTGTGGGGAGGTAATAACACAATGAAGCACGTAAAGCCAATGGATTGGAAGTTCTGTGTTAAGGAGGCTTGATGATAAAGCAAATGAGCCAGAGATATCAGGTGGAGGGGTGCTGAAAATGCACATTTCAGAACTGGCACAGTTTGAGGAGTTACCATGTGAAAGGATAGCTGAGGAGGAATCAAGGAAAGTATCATTAGAACTCTTGAGAAGCCTGGAAGTTGGGTGGACATTGAAGTCACCAAACAATGACATAATAGTGGAGAGTAAAAATACAGTGAGCAAGCACTAATATAATCCATTTGTGAGTGATTCATATTAAGGTTATCCTTGGGATTGAGCCCTGTAGATTGGAGAAAAGAAGGTCCATTCTGAGAGGTTGCAAGTGGCAGGAAAGAGATGGCCAAGAAAGGAGCTGCCAAGACTAGCCACAGAGTTGGATCTGGGATCCTGAGGAACCAATCTGGTCACCTCTGCTCCTTTGCCAAGTAGAAGGCTGAAGTGACTTCCCAGAGAAGCCTCTGTTGTGCTGACTGACAGGAACCTGGATGTGGCAGGGACCATGTAGCTTTGGTTTTCATGGTATCCTGAAGTGAAACATTTGGCAACCTGTCTGTCCCCCAGTGTGGCTGACTAACAAATGCCCTTGGTATGAGGTCACCCCATGGAGGTCCTGCCCATCTCTCTAAGTTACAGTGCCTGTATAGGTTCAACTGTTAAGAACAGTTTACACTGTTTAATTCGAAGCCCTAAAGATGGCAGTTTTCATTTGTTATATAACACTCTCTGGTCAATGAATAAAAGCTTATAGTTTTTTTAAATTTTTATCCTCACCCTAGGACAATTTTTCATTGCTTTTTAGAGAGAGATAAAGGAGAGAGGAAGGGAGAGAGAGAAACATCAATGACAGAGAGAAGCATCGAGCAGTTGCCTCCTGTACACACCCAGACCAGGGCTTATATGCACTTGGACCAGGGACCAAACCCACAATCTAGGTATGTGACCTGACTGGGAATCAAACCTGCAACCTTTTGGTTATGGAACAGTGCTGCAACTGAGCCATACTAGCCAGGGTTAAAACATTTTAGTTTTAAGAATACTAACTAATGTATCTACTATAATTGTGGTCATTAATAGTGTATTTATTATGCTTACCACTGTATATACTAAATATTTAAATAAGACCAGGATATGACCAGGGACAAAGGACATATGTACACTTGCTCCTTTACTACAGTGAGATTTGCCTGTTAAATGTTGTGACATGGACTTTTACAACATGGAGATGTAAGGTGGGCTCCCTGTGGATGTTTCGGACAACAGACCTACTCTTAGTATGCAGTTAACTAACTTCAGACCCTCCCTCTGTGCTGCCCTTAGCTTTCTGAAGGTCAGCCACTTAACCTCATTTAGAAGATTTCTTCCCCATCACTACCTTTTCGGGAAGGGCACAAAACTCTCATTATTTATTGCCATACCTGCTCCCCACAACCTCTTCTATCTTGGGCATAACCCTGGTTTATAATCTGAGTCTATGTCTTTTAATCCCCCAGCTCCTAAGCTGACTAATTCTCTGTAGGATATTAGCAGCCAGGCCAGGAAAGTTGTGTGGGGGATGAGTGGAGATGCGAAGGTTGGCTTAGATATACTGCTTCCCTCTGAGACACATCAAACTGACAATTCAAACTTAAACAATACTGGTCACAGCTGGAATAAGTATTATAGAGAACATCCCTTCATAACAATACTAGTGGGAATTTATTTGAACAGAACTAGGATTAGGTCCTAGGATTTGGACCTTAATTTATTCATACAAAAATGGGAGTAATAGAATCCTTCTAAGGTTATGGGTGATTCCAAAAAGATCATATTGGTAAAGCATGCTAAACCCCTAGGGTAACAGTATCTGTCTGACGAATGGAGATTGTTTCTATTTTTATATTAAAAAACTGTTAGGTTGATTGAGTGTTTCAGGAACAGCATAAAAGAAAACCTGCCTCTTCCATTTCTATGTGAATTTTAGGTTAAGCTTGTCAATTTCTGCCAAAAATTTAGGTGGAATACTGATAGGGATTGCATTAAATCTGTAGATTAATTCAAGAGGTAGTCCCATCTTAACATTAAGTTTTCCTATGTATGGGTATGGAATGCCTTTCTATTTACTTAGTTCTATTATTTCTTTCAATGATGTCTTATAGATATCTGGTATACAAGTTTCACACATGTTTTATTGAATGCATTCCTAAATATTTTACTCTTCTTGATTCTAAAACTTCACATTTTATGTACTGGAATGAGTATGAGCATCCTATAAACATGGGTGTAAATTCTGGCTCTGTCACTGACCATGTTGTAACCCTGAGCAAGATACTGGCTTCTCTGAACATCTGTTACCTCATCTATAAATTCAGCATCATAATTTATTATTGCTTAGGTTGATGAAGTGATTACCCAGAGTAATGTGAAGATACACAACTCAGTGCAAGTAAATATTAGTTGTATGTCTTTCTTTACTAAATCTGTGGTATAAACTGTTATTTTCCTATATAATGATATCCTTTCCTCATATGCTACATTAAAATACTCCCAGTAGTATTGTGGATGGGAGGAGGGAAGACCTGTCTATTTTTGTACTTTAGATATCTAAAAAATATTTGTCACTTTTATTTTTTCTTCAGTGATAAAGTTTTTATCTAGTGCTAATTATCAACTTCTCTTTCACCACACTGAAAAAAATCCCTTTGAGTTTTCTAGAATTGTATGTTTTCCAAGTAGCACTCATACCATTTACTTCATTTAATACTTCACTGCTAGCTTTGTTTTCTTAAAAATATGGAATTTTATTCTCCTATCCTTATATACATTTAACTATATTTCACCATCTTTAAGAATATGATGAAATACTTGAGATGATTGATGTGCGGTCCCTGTAAATCAAGCAGGCTAATTTTCCTTCTTTGAATTCAGTGTATTGTATCATGCATAGGGACTGTTAGATTTCCAAGGGATAACAATGGACTGACCACCAGATCTTGAAAGGACAGGCCCCATTTTTCTGTATGTGCCACACTGCACACGCCATGGTGTGGAGACAAGTGTGAATGCCCACCAGGGCTCAGTTGGAGCCTCAGTTTATAAACTTATAAAGGCAAAACTTCAGAAACTTTGGGTCTTCTCCCAAAGTTAGATACAGGGACCTTTAAAAGACAATGATATAAGTTGGTGGTTGAGTTTCTTTCTTTTTTTTTTTTCTGGATTTAGCTGTCCAGATCTCCCAACACCATTTGTTGAAGAAGCTATTTTTATTGCATTGTACACTTTCACTCCTTTTGTCAAATATTGACAGTAGAGACATCGAGTTATTTCTGGGCTCTCTATTCTGTTTCATTAATTTACATGTCTGTTCTCATGCCAGTACCAGACTGTTTTGATTACTGTGGCCTGGTAATATAGTTTAATATTACATACTATGATCCCTTCCACTTTGTTCTTCTTTCTCAAAATTGTTGCAGCTATTTTGGGTCATATATGGTTTATATAAATTTTTGAAATGTTTGTTCTATATCTGTGAAATATGTCATTGGTATTTTAGTAGGGATTGTATTGAATCTATAAATTGCTTTGGGTAGTATGGACATTTTGATTATGTTCATTCTTCCAATCCATGAACTTGGTACATGCTTCCATTTGTTTGTGTCTTCCTTAATTTCTTTCTTCAGTGTTGAGTAGTTTTCTGCATACAGGTCTTTTATCTCCTTGGTTAGGTTTATTCCTAGGTACTTTATTTTTCTTGTTGCTGTATACCAAACAGGATTTATTTCCTGATTTCTGTTTCTGATATTTCATTGTTGGTATACAAAAATGCCTTTGATATCTGAATATTGACTTTGTATCCTGCTGTTTTGCCAAATTCAATTATTAGGTTGAGTAGTTTTTTTGGTGGAGTCTATAGGATTTTCTATGTACACTATCATGTCATCTGCAAATCCACAGGGCAGTGGTGACAGTTTTGCTTTCTTTTTTCCCATTTAGATGCCTTTTATTTCTTCTTCTTGTCTACTTGCTGTGGCTAGGACTTACAATACTATATTGAATAGAGCTTACACCATACACAAAAACAAACTCAAGATGGATAAAACACTTAAACATAAATTATGACAACATAAAAGTTCTAGGGAGAGCATAGGCAGGAAATCTCAGATATTACATGCAATAATATTTTCATCAATATGTCCTCTAGAGCAAAAGACATAAAGGAAAGACTAAACAAATTGGACTTAGTCAAAATGAAAAGCTTCTGATAAAGGGAGACTTCCGCCAAGATGGAGGTATAGGTGGATGTGCCGTGCCTTCTCACACAACCAAGTTTGGGGACAACTAAATATTAGCATCAGAAAACACAACCAGAACACGGAAAACTGAACTTTTCGGAAGTCCGCTAACAACAAATTCTTCAGCCCGGCGAAACCGGCGTCTGGTGAGGATTTGCAAAGGAGGGCTCCGTCGGACCCGGGCACGGAATCCAGACGCGCGAATCCAGACGCACGGGTTCCAAACACAGGATTGGACCTGGTGAGCAACTGAGCAGCCCACCGGGCGACTGCTGAGGAGACAGTGGGGAGGCGGTGCAGCGTGTTGACTGCGGTTGCCTGGTTGTGCGCGAGCGAGGGAGTGGGCGGGTGGACCGGCCGCGGCGGCGATAGAGGGTGGCCGTGGCGATAGAGGGCACCGCCATTTCCCCGCTCTGACCACGCCCCCACATACAGCGTCACAACCCAGTGACCTGGGAGTCCAAGGCGCCTCTCACATTTAAAGGGCCAGAACAGACCAAAAATGTCACAGGAAGACCTCAAAGCCCCAGAGATAAATCTAAGCGACGAAGAAATAGCAAAACTCTCAGACACACAGTTTAAAACACTGGTCATCAGCTTCCTCACAGATCTGGTTGATTATAGCCACAAATTAGAGAAACATATGAAGGCTAAATTAAGGGAAATGAATGGAATTCCACAGGAAACCCATAGAGATGAAAAGGAAACTGGGACTCAAATCAATGGAGTGGACCAGAAGAAAGCAAATAATGGCCAAACAGAAAAGAGTCAAGGAGCAAGAATTCAAAGAAATGAGGAGAGTCTTAGGAACCTCCAGGACATCTTTAAATGCTCCAATATCCGAATTATAGGGGTACCAGAAGGGGGGAAAGACACAACCACCAGTGGGAAACTTATTTGAACAAATAATAAAAGAAAATTTCCCCAATCTGGCAAAGGAAATAGACTTCCAAGAAATCCAAGAAGCCCAGAGAGTACCAAAAAAGTTGGACTCAAGAAGAAACACACCAAGGCATATCATAATTACATTAGCCAAAATTAAAATGAAGGAGAGAATCCTAGAAGCAGCAAGAGCTAAGGGGACAATCACCTACAAAGGAGTCCCCATCAGACTGTCAGCAGATTTCTCAAAAGAGACCTTACAGGCAAGAAGGGGCTGGAAAGAAATATTCCAAGTCATGAAATCTAAAGACCTACAACCAAGATTGCTCTATCCAGCAAAACTTTCATTTAGAATGGAAGGACAGATAAGGTGCTTCTCAGACAAGACCAAATTCAAGGAGTTCATCATCACCAAGCCCTTATTATATGAAATGTTAAAGGGACTTATCTAAGAAAAAGAAGTTAAAGAAACATGAACAGTGAAAGAACAACAAGCTCACAGTTATTAACAACCACACCTAAAACGAAAGCAAACTAAAAGAACAGCTAGATCAGGAGTGGAAATATAGAAATGAAGATCTCAAGGAGGGTTAGCAACAGGGGAGTTGGAGGAGGAGATGGGGGGAGAAGGTACGGAAAATAAGTAGCATAGACAGTAGATAGAAAATAGATGGGGGGGCAAGAATAGCATGGGAAATATAGAACCTAAAGGACTTGAGACACATGGACATAAACTAAAGGGGGGTAATGGTGGGGATGGGGGGGCAGGGTGGAGGGGAATG